ATGCAACAACAAGGGTGAGACCAACGATTTGACAAATGACAGCATATACAAATCGGTCGTGGATTCAATTACATTGGCGTAGATCTGATGAGACCTGTGTGCGCTTTATTGCATCAATGTTACTATTTTAGATGTTACGATTTGAAATTAATCCAAAAACTAATGCTTTGACCTCGAGTTGTCGAGTCTACAATAACCGTGTGATTGATTCGGTAGTGCGAGTTGAAATACAGCTTAAACCGGGATTTACACACCTGCAAATTTAAGGAGAGGCGCTATTGTGTCGATGTTACACATTATCGTGCAACAAGTGGCAGACGGGTACCAGAGCAACGCACTCCTAGATGATCTACTCATCATGGCACCGTGAAGATACCCTCAACTAGGACAGGTGACAGTAAGCCTCTGGTTTTGTTTGCAACCGGTGCATATTAGGGTGTGCACAGACTCCGACAGACTCCCAACCAGAGTGATGAGTGGACGAATTGCGGCACTGATGTGCTTATTTGCCGACGAGTTCGCGTAAGCAAGACGGTGGGTATTGTGAGCACCACCCGGACAGCTACCTGGGTAGTGGGGATTGTCGCAGACACCTGGTGGCTTCGGTCTCGTGTAATTTTTGGCACTCGTTTGACCTTCACCTTACAACGAGTAATGGCGCACCTAAAGTACATGCACACGTGATTCTGGATTACCAGGAGGTACTGGACGAGATCACCACACTCCAGAATGGCGAAACCGAAACAGTTTAGGGAGTTGGAGGCATCCCCGACACCTGCCAGTGCAGATAAAGTCAACGACTACGATAACCACTCTTAACTTACAACCAATCCTTTTCGTGTCCTCGCCTTCCATACTGCCGTCTTGATAGAAGAGGTGAGGCAGTGCGGATCCTTCCCACTGTGTTTCACAGAATGCGAAGTCGAGTGCACAGATGGAAATGCTGTCTGGAGGGTGTGCAGTACTATGTCCATCAGCAGAGCAGCATTTTGGGCTGCCGTTTCCTGCATGTGTCGCAGAAGCGACAGTTGTGGCATCTGCGTTTGTGTAAAATCGTCCACGTAATCCACGTCGCGTGCCTCGGTCGACAATCAGGGTCGAAGACGTCAATGGGTTGCTGATTGCATTTTCAACTGCCTGCATGTGCGGTTCACGTTTCCAACGCGTGTCAGAAACTCCTCGGTCTCATGCATTGCCAGTTCCAAGCATTTGTACCTCATATTCAACAGCCACGACTGCTCACTGAATTTGACTTTGTCCTCTGAATCGTGGTGAAACTCCTCTGTGCAGTGCAGTCGGCTCATGTTGCGACTGTTGTGGGCGGCTAAACGGACAGAGTCGTCACATTCGCCTGCGTTAACAACTCCATCACCTTCAACTGTTGCTCAGGAGCAGTCAAAGCTCTGCCGTATCCGTGGTCGAAATTGTCATCAAATGGTTCTGTGTTGTGTGAATGTGAATCCTCTCCAGCTCCCAACTCGCAACGCGATAACCACGAGGCCAGACTACATGGGTGCGGATGTCCTTCCTCACCGACGTGTATGAGTGAGCAGAGAAGGGTGTGACGATGAGTGCGTACGCATCGACCAGACAGAGAGGGCCAGTCAATTCCGTCTGACTCACTCGACGGTATCTGTCACACGCACTTGTGGCATTCTAATTGACCTTGGCCGTATAGTGATGATTGGCGTACTTTGGGTGCATCTATAGGTGACCTCAATCCAACAGAGGGAATTGGCGAGGGCGACGCTTCCTGGATTATTCGGTAAGTAGTTGTAAGAGTGGAAACGCCCAACAAATCGAACAGGAGCATTATCTAGGCTCACGGACATTTCCATCACACAGAGAACGCGATGAAGCTGTTCTGTGCAATCTTCGTCGTTCTCCACATGGTGGCAGACAACGAAGCATTTCGCGATTCCTTAGCAAGACTCCAGTTAACTGGCGAAATGTGCCACTACACAGTCGTCCAACCTCAACCTACATATTACTGACGTACTCAGGCTAACTGTCACTTCACATAACCGTCGATCACGAATGCACATGTTGCCCGAAGATGTTTCAGTAGCTAGACAAGAATTGCAAAAAAGTGTCGAAGCAAAGCATTGTCATCCTCTTTTCTACTTCACTCTTTCTTCTGCAGTGTAGTTGGTGAGGTGCCTACGGCCCCGCAGAAGCATTCCTCTTCGTCTTTCTCGAGGTTCCACTTGAGGCGTCATCTCAGAACATTCTAGTCGTGCCTGATTGACCCATATCAAGCAGAGAAGTGCAATGCCAGCCACTCGAAGTCCAAGATCAATCAGGTGCAGTAAGCATGCGCAACTGAAATCATTGACACTCAGAATCACACACTCAAGGAGGCTCCATTCTGTCGCCACCAGGCGCGTACACACAAACCGTACCCCTATCGGCTACTCATTACGTCAGCAGAAAGAGCATCAGCACTGAAGTCTTTGCCTATTGATAATTTGGTTGGTGGCCCTGATGAATCCAGACAACTCACGCACACATACTCCACTGCATCAGCGTTGGCAACACGACTTGCAGCAGGTGTCCCACCATCCTTGACACCACTTCCGAAGCAGAGTAATGCGATTCACAATTACACTAAGTAGAAATGAATGCCATTGGGCCTACTTAC